AAGACCTGCTGACAAGTTTCAGTGGCAACGAATATTTTGTCTATCTTCAGTACAACTTCATACACACGTTGGGACATAACACAGCTTCGTCCTGTAAGGTCCTCCACTCAGCTCTGCATACAGACATTACATAGTTTTTCAAACTAAAGCTAAGTTGTGGCATGCCCTTCTCTGCAAGTTCTTCTCTGATCCCTTGGTCACCGATAACTGTTTCTCCCTTTACGTTCTCCCTTTTCGGCACTTAGATGGAATTTCAGCTCTGACCGTACACTTGCGTCCATGTCAGCTCTTCTCTCATTACTTGCTGACTCATAGACTTACCTTTAGACTTATCTACTGGAGTGTCATTTCTGTCTAGCACTAACAATGGATGTGCTGAGTAAGGAGAGGTCAGCTTTCAATGAATAGTTTCTGTTTATGCCTCGGTGGAAGGGAAGGTCTGGGGCTCCGCGCCTCTGCGTCAGCAATGCTCTCTAACAGATCCCGTGCTGGCCACCATCTTTCATCTCCTGATTTTTAGTGATCCATATGCTATCTTTCTGCTATTTGGGGTCCATTCCTCAGGCAGCACATGTTCCTGTAATGCAAGCATGTTGGTGATGTCAGGTTTAGAAAATCTCTCTTTTTAAAAGGAAAGATGTTAAGAGCAACAGTAAAATACTTAGTTGTACAGTGAGAAGTTTCTTTCCAGAAAAATGACTTTTTTCCCATCTTCTCTCAGTCCTTACTTCCTTAGGCTCAGTTTACCATCCATGTGGACCCCTACTTCCTCAAGAACATAAATGAGGTAGGCATGGTGACACACACCTGTAATCCCAGTACTCAGGAAGTTAAAGCAAGAGAATCTACAAGCTCCAGTTCAGGAGGACTTGGTCTCAAAACAAGCATGTAAACAAAGAGAGAGCAGAAGTTGTGCTGTACCATAAACTGTAAGATTGATGGAGGGAGAATCTGGATGAAACCCAAAATCATTGCCAGATACAAGAGGTGAACTTTCTACCCAGAGGTTCCACCCATGCCTAGTTCTCCTTTTCCACCTCTCACCCCAGCACTCAAAGGTCATGTTTCTAGGCATTAAATATAAGAATTCACAGCCAGATGCGGTGGCGTACACCTTTAATCACAGCATTCAAGAAGCAGAGGCAAGTGAATAGGCCAGCCTGATCCTACATACTGAGTTCCAGGCCAGCACTGGGTTCCAGGCCAGCTGGGGTTTCAGGGAAATAAAAAAAAAAAAAAAAAAAAAAAAAATCAAAGTGCTTCATACCACGATGGGGTCCTCCCTTCAAATGTCCTCAAATTCTGACAGGTCTTATCCAAGTTGTGTCCCTCATCTATGTTTGTCCTCACATGTTCTTTCCTAAATCAGAATACATGCTGCTTTTTACCAATCATCTTTCTACCCTCCTCCAGTAATAATCCACTGCACGTCAGAAACAAGAATGGGCAATGAGGACCCAGTGGTGAATAAAATGCAGCAGACTGCACTCCCAGAAGTAATAACTGAAGAAGGCTAGGAAAATGGATTCATTTTTCTGGAAGGGGCTTCCTCCTTGATAAAAGGAGCTGGTATGCTCTGTAAACTTGAAGAGCTCATGGTTCTAGAATCCTAAGAGAAAAGAGGAAGTAGAGAGTCCCCAAAGGCTGGCGGTCTGAGCAGGAGCCATCCAAATGGCGTGGAGGTCAGGATCCAGGTTGACAGACCATCAGTGCATGGTTGAATACATGCAGCTGATGTGATCAGCACTGAACTTTAAAATGAGTCCTGTGATGCTGACAGCATATCAGGACTGAAGGCTGATAAGATGACTCTGTGGGTGAACGTGCTTGCCATGCAAGCCTGACAACCTGACGATGGAAACCCACAGTGGAAGGAGAGAACCAACTCCCAAAAGCCCTCACCTCCACTTGCCTTGTGGCATGTGCTTGTGCACATACATGCACCACACACACATAATAATTATAATAACAAACAATTTTAAAGGTGTATTAGAAATGAGAAAAGGATGCAAGAGTTTAGTTAGGGAGGCGGCTGCTGCAGGAGAACCATGGGAAGTCTGATTAAGGTAGATGCATGGTGGAAAGAGAGCAAGATGTTTTCAAAGGCATTTGAATTTTTCTTTTCACAATATAATAATATAGATTAAGAACTACAGATGATTGGGGCTGGAGAGATGGCTCAGCAGTTAAGAGCACTGACTGCTCTTGCAGAGGACCCAGGTTCGATTCCCAGCACCGACATGGCGGCTACGAACTGTCCTTAACTCCAGTTCCAGGGGAATCCGAAGCCCTCTTCTGACCTCCATGGCATTGCATGACATGGGTGCACTCACATACATGCAGGCAATACACTCATGCACGTAAAATAAAAATAATAAATAAAATATTTTTAAAATAAAAATAAAAAACTACAGATGGTGAAAAATAAAAAGAACCCCTCTGCATTCTGAAGCACCCTGAGCTACTTATTAGAGAAACCAAGGGCTTCTGGCAATCATCAGGGAGTTTTCTTGAAATACATGTGCGCGCGTCTGCACGCACACACACACACACACAAAAGCATGCACGCACATGCGCACACACACACTATGTTAGTAAGATCATATAATTTAGCATACTAAGGAGGGAGAGAGAGAGAGAGAGAGAGAGAGAGAGAGAGAGAGAGAGAGAGAGGCTTTAATCAACAGTCCCAGTCCCAGCTTTTATGGAGCACGCGTATCTTTTCTTATTCTTACCACTAATATAACTTGTTCTTTAAGTTTTATTTATTTGTCCTGGATGGCAGTAAATGAGAGGAGACCGTGATGTTTTGTTAAAGTGAGCCTACCAAATGTATTTTCACCCTAAAAGTAAATCAATAAGTGGGCACAATTTTTACATATATAAGTGTATGGGGGTGCATGCATGTGCTCATACGTATGTAGGGTCCAGAGAACAACCTCCGGTCTCATCTTCAGAAATGCTGCCCTACTTTGAGACAGGCTCCTTCCTTGTCCTGGAGGTTGCTAATTAAGACAGGCTTGCTGCTCAGGCAGTACCAGGGTCTGTCTTAGCTCTGTCTCCTCAGTGCTAGGAAGGCTGAACCAGCACACCCAACATTTTTGTGTGGGTTGTGGGGATCAAACTCAGGTCTTAATGCTTGGGATACAAGCACTTTACTGACTGGCACTTTACTGACTGAGCTGTCTCCCAGCATCCTACATTTTTTCCCCTGAAAGTTACCTTTGTTCCTGGGTCTGCAGAACAGTGATACTCACTAAGGTAGTTATTTGACTTCCCTAATAAATATCTCTTTAACACTCTGTAACTTGTTTAAAGGAAGGAAAGATGCTTGTATTACTTTGCTGGGACTACTGTAGACGCTCACTGACTAGGTCACTTGAAACACAGACACTTATTTTCAGGCAGCTCTGGAGCACAGCAGGCTGAGATCAGGGGCCATGCAGAGTCTCTCTTCAAGGGCTTTCCTCCTAGGCCTACAGATGGACCACCTTTTCATGGTGTCCTCGTGTGGTGCTTTATCTGTGATACTCTCTTTCTTCCCTCATATGATATATGCCTCGGGCCCCTACTTTAATGGCTCCTTCTAAATAAATCATATTTTTAAAGATTTCTTTGCAAATACAATTACATTCTGAGATGTTGAGCATCAGAACTTCAGCATGAGAACAGAGGAGCAAAAATCCATTCTGTTATACTATAGTTTACTCTACAGCATCTCAAGGTAGGGAAGGAGAGGCAACCTTAGACTAAATTTAGCTTTACTGAAAGTCCATTTGGTAAAGTTCCAAATAGAAATTCGGTCAACATTGCCAACTGTGGGCTGAAGTCAAGGAGAGAACGTAACCACTGGTGGCCAGGGAAGGACACACAATGGTAGAAGCAGACCCTGGCCTGCACCGTTGGTCCTTCTCCCAGGCAGAGCAGAGGGTGGAGTGCAGGAATGTCCTGCATGCAGAAGAGCGTGAAAAGGAGTCTAGCAGAATGTGCTGTCAGATAAGGAAAGAAATCAGGAAACACAAAACGAAAATCCAAAGCCGTGGGCCAGCATCTAGAAGAGATGCTATTCATCCACAAAGAGGAAGGGCCAGAGCACTAGTGAGGAGATGGCCTCACAGACTGAAGGGACAGAACACAGCCTACGTGGAGCCTGCTACATGTGAAAATTCAGTGCGGTGTTTATGAGAAAACAACCCAGAAACACATCCTAGACGTGAAAACAGCGCGTGCTGTGCAACGCTGAGCACAAGCAGGCTCGCCACTTTGTCTTCACTTTCTGCCCCCCTTTCGGTAGAAACTCAGGCAGCGTCCACGCTATAGCTTCAGCTTAACTTCAGCATGGCATCATCTGCTTGGATGACGTCACAGTCACGTTTTTCTGCCCAGTAACAATATCGTTGAGCCAGATTTCTAAGCAGGACAAGATGCCAGTCTGCCCGCCCAGCAGTTGCCAGCAGGTGCACGGCTGGGTGCCGGCCACCAGGGGTCAGGCTGGAGCCGCGGGCAGGTGCCGCACCCAGCCTCCCGGAGCGCGCTGCCACGCGTGCCTCCGCCCCGGGGCACCACCAGTGAGGGGACGGCGCGCCCTGAATCTGGTTCATTGGAGACTAGAGTTTGTTTTTTCCTCTCGACCTGCGATAATAGCTTTGCCCAGATCCCTCTGCCCGGGGAAGGTAGAGCCCCGCATCCGGCAGGGGAGATTGGTCTCCGGGAGAAAAAGAGGCCCCGGCCCTCCCTGCCCGACCCCGCCCCTGCCCCGGTCCCGGCCCCACTGCCCGGATGGTCCAGCTTCAAAACTGCCTGGCCTCCAGACAGCTGCGCCCCTAGCCCGATTTCCTCCCTGGATAGGGCGTGTCCAGGAAGCTCCGCCCCAAGGCGCAAGGGGGCCCACCTCCAGAGCAGAGCCTCTTCTAAGCATCCCTGGATAACCCCCAAAAGCTCCGCCCCCGGAAAAGCTCCGCCCCCACGAAGCTCCGCCCTCGAGAAGCCCCGCCCCTTGGAAGACGCACGCCCTGGCCCGGAAAACCCCGCCCCTCGCAGCCCAGCCCTCTGGACCTCATCTGGACAGCCGCCTCCTGGAGCTCCCCTCCCTGAGCTGCCATCTGCTGCACCAAAACCCCCTAGGCCTGTGTCAGTCCAGGTAAGTCCTAGGCAGGGCCGGGGGGCGGCGCCGGGAGGGGAGCCCTAAAGTGCCAGAAGAGTCCTGGACGCCATTCTGCAGCCAGGGAGCGTCTCTAGTAGGTCTGTATTTCCTACTTAGTGTCGTTTGGTACTAGTTCTCTCAAAACTTTCTTCACTCCTCTCTTTGTACTTCAGTCAGGAATTTGACAAAGGGGTGTGAGTTTGCGCAGGCAGCACAGCGCATTTAAGTTACAAAGTCACAAGGCCTGACTGATTACTCATCTGGGTTGTTGTTTTTTTTTGGTTTGCTTTTCCTGTCAAACTAGGGAAAAGGGAAAGACTTTTCTCTCAGAGGTCCTTAGTAGGATTTTGAACTTAAGATTCCTGATCTGTCTGCTGCCTTTTTCCACTGGAGAAGGCTAAGGGGAATCACCCAGGCATGAATCTCCTGGGACCAGAGTTATGCAGCGGGACACAGTGGGGATGAGGAGTCAGTCACGTACAGGCATGGCAAGGCTAACAGATTTTCACCTCACCGGGAGTGGCTGAAATGTGGAGTCTGAAGAGTTTAAAAAATGTTTTTACTGAATCCTCGAAAATTTCATGCAACACATTTTTATCGTGTTCAGACGCCCTCCCCCCATCCCCACTCCCACCTTTTTATTGAAGGGTGTTATAAATCGGAATGTATCCTGCAGACTCAAGCCAGGTTGGCTTAGCCTGGACATGAATGTGAGCTAAGTGGACTGGCCAATGAGACAGGGTGAGGCGGGCGGAATGAGCGTTGACAGTACTTAGGAAGAGGAGACAAGTGAAGTTCAGGGGTTTGATATGCTCCAGTTCTCCAAAAAATTCCAGGTTTTGAGACTTGCCTGACAAAAGCTTGTCTGGGAAGAGAGCCCCCCAAAGCCCAAGTGGGAACATGGAAAGAACTAAACAAGGAAGAATGGGACCCGGCCAGGGCGTGTGGCTGGCTGTCCACCACCGAGGCAGCAGAACTCAGCCATCCAGGGAACCACCCCCCCAGGTAAGTGGGAACATGGAAAGAACTAAACAAGGAAGAATGGGACCCGGCCAGGGTGTGTGGCTGGCTGTCTACCACCGAGGCAGCAGAACTCAGCCATCCAGGGAACCACCCCCCCAGGATATATGTACCTCAGGGCAGCCACTGTCCACTCACTGTCACTGGGTGGGAGGGGGCTATCCTGTCGACAGTGAAGTGAGAAGGCAGCTGAGCGCCCAGTAAGTCCCCCGTGGTCAGCTCCTCAGATGTGGGGACAGGGAAGTGGAGTGGAGCCCCAGCTACTCTGTCCGTTTCTCTCAGGGAAACGAAGGAGCAGTAGAGGAAAGGGCACTCACGTTTGGTCTGCTCACTGTGCCTGTGCCATGTGTATGCTAGTCTGCAAAAATATCCCTCCAAGGCTGATCTGTCCAAACAGGACACAGTCTGAAGGAGAAGCTGGAGTCAGTATACTCGATTATAAAAGAATTTTCAAAGAACTCTATCAAGGTCACGTGGAGACTTCCTCCCTTAGGGCAGCTTCAGTCATCCAGGAGCTTTTTCCAACTCATACAATCAAAGCTTGCAGAACAAAGGCAGTTTCCGTCAGATCATGTGACATCTTGATGTCTGAAGGACGAAAACACCAAGTGAACTCTTGCATGCCAAGAAAACCGGCAGCTTGCTTCTCCAGGCCCTGCAGGACCCTGCCTGTCCCTGTCCGCTTCAGATCTGGCTCCTGCCTACCCTTGGCCCTCTGGCCACCCTGATGCGTCTCCTGCTGGAATGTTCTTTCGCACAGCATTTGGAGTTTCAGCTTTAGCGCCACTTCCCCACAAGGTCTTTCCTGTCATTCAATCTAAAGTCATCCCCCAGCACATAGATCTCGTCACCACATTGCCACTGGAAATTGCTACCTTTTTATTTATTTGCCTACTTTTCATTGTCTTTTCCCTTCTTAAATTTTTGAAAGTGAGGTCCTTGACTGTTTTGCTTCTGGCTTTACCTGCAATAGGAAAGATCAATATGATTTGTGAACTGAGTGCATTTAGCTGTCTGGCTTCTTCACTTGTCCCTCCATCTGTTTTGACCAACCAGAGCCTCTGCTTCCTCTTCAGCAGCTGATAGAACCATGGCAATAACACCGGATGCTGCTTTTGAGACCCTCATGAACGGAGTGACAAGCTGGGATCTCCCCAGCGAACCTGTTCCCAGTGAACTCCTTCTTATTGGGGAGGCCGCCTTCCCAGTGATGGTGAATGACAAGGGCCAAGTGCTCATTGCTGCCTCCTCCTATGGACAAGGCCGCCTTGTGATTGTCTCCCATGAAGGCTACCTGCTGCATGCTGGCTTGGCCCCATTTCTTCTCAATGCAGTGCGTTGGCTCTGTCCCACCCCTGGGGCTCCCAGTGCAGTGCATCCTTCCTTGGCATGCCTAGTAAACATCCTGCAGGGCTCTGGGGTTGATGCACAGATTGGGCCCAAACCACCTGAAAAGCCCCTAGGTGTTTACTGCACCGATGCCTACAATGACACCTTGACTGAGAAGCTGGTCAAGTTTGTGAAGTGTGGAGGTGGCTTGCTCATTGGAGGCCAGGCCTGGTATTGGGCCAGTCAACATGGACGTGACAAGGTGCTGTCTAGTTTCCCTGGGAACCAGGTGACAAGTGTGGCCGGAGTGTACTTCACAGACATCTATGGGAACAAAGACCGGTTCAAGATCTCTAAGAAGGTGCCCAAGATCCCACTCTATGTGAGGTGAGTGTGTGACCCTCGTTACAGATTCTAATTCGGTTTAACAATAGGGCTGATACTACTTCAGTGAATATCCTTTTCAATAGAAGTAATTTTTTTAATTCAGTTTTCTAACCACCAGCAGGATTAAGACTCCAGAAAAAAGGTCAGTCTGGTGGGAGTTGGAGTCTTGGAAAAGACATGGTAGTGAACAGAAATACAAAGCTGATAAAACCATCTATTATAGGACCTAACCTGTCAACCATGGGACCTCCTACCTTCACGTTTGTGCTGGTTTGTTTTTTTCAAATTGATACAAACTAAAGGCACCTGGGAAGAGGGAACCTCCATTGAGGTATTTCCTTTATCACGTTGGCCTGTGGAAATGCATTTTCTTGATTTCTGGTAGATGTAGGAGGGCCCAACCCATTGTGGGCAGTGTCATCTCTGGGCAGGTGGGCCTTGGCTGTATAAGAAAGGTAGCTGAGGGGTTGGAAAGATGGCTCAGCAGTTAAGAACAGGGGTTGCTCTTTCAGAGGACCAAGATTTGGTTCCCACAACCCACATGGCAGCTAACAGCCATCTAAAATTCCATTTCAGGGGATCCACGCATGTGGTGCAGTTATTTCAAAAGGAATCCTCTGATTGTTGAATAGACTGTAAGGAAGAGACTTATCAGGAATCCATGACTAGAGGGGTGGTAAAGGAGCTCCTGAGAAGAGCTGCAGTTGTAGGTGCACATCCAAGGTCGGGTGTAACAGTCTTGGCCAATGGATTGAATATGGAGTGAGAGATGGTAAAGATGAGTTAAAGTTTGGTCTTAGAGGCTTAAAAATGATGTCATTTGCTTAACTGTAGAAGACCATCAGATGGCTTAGAAAAGATCAAGATTTTAATTTTAGATATTTTGACTTTTAAGAAATTGATAACTGTGTTTTTTCTGTATGTAACACAAGCCTTACTACAGTAAATTAACCATATCTGAGTTTATTGTTCTCAAGTAGTATAAAGCCCAAGTGGGCAGTCCGGGCCTGCGGCAGTGCCATCTGCTCCCCTCTCTGTCCCCACCCCGTCATGGCATGCTGCTTTTACTTTTGTTGCTTCAAAATGGCCAGTACTACTCTAGGCACCACAAATTTACTGAGGCACTAATTCCTGGAGTAGACGTACCTGCTGGGTCTACCTTTTTTTAACTTAGAAAATCATCTATTTTCTAGAAGCCCTAACATTAAACAGACTTCCATGGATAGTATAGTGGACAAAACTTCATCATGTGGCCACCTTTAGCAACCAGGAGGTCTGAGGATATTTTCAAATGGACACCTCTGGAAAAATCATGACTCTACTACAAGAAGATGGGGTATATCAATGCTGAGTGAGCAGCCAGTGGGCGGTACCCTGGACCCTCAGCCCCAGGGAAGACACAGCAGAATTTCTTGCTTTCTGAGTGGGTTAGGGAAAGGATGAGGTTACCAGGCACACAGAAATAGATCTGATTTGCTCCAATTTGCTTTTGATTCTATAACCAGTTGACAAGCTGAGGCCTGTCAGCAAGCCCCCTGCTTCTCTAAACACAAGTTTTATTGGAGGTACAGCACGTCCATTCATTTTCAAACTGTCTATGGCTGATTTTAAGCTACAATGGCAGAGGTAAGTCCTTTCAACAGAGATAATAACAACCCCCCCCCAAAGTTCATTAACCCTTTAAGAAAATGTCTCCTAACATATAGGTTAAGTCTCAGCAACATAATCTTGTTAATTGCTTCAAGGAATTCTTTCCAGAAAACGAAACCTGTTTCCACCACCCTCACACACATTTTCCATCCCTGCCATGGAATCTGAGGTTAGTTTTGTGGAATTTTTTTCCCAGAGAAAACTTCAAGCATATGCAGAAGTAGAGAGCCCAGTACAATGTACATCTGTATAGTCATTACTCGACCCCAAGAGCAATCAACGCATGGTCAATTTTATATCATTTATATTCTCGCTTCAGATGCTTTTGAAGCAAATAGCATGCATCTGATCATTCCGCCTGCATTCCAATGTATTGTATTTCTCTAAAGATATCAGTTCATTAAAATATAACCACAAGGTGCACACAGCCAAAATAATAATTCCTTAAGGTAGCCATTCGCCTCCCTCATCACCGATGGACTTCCCTGCTCTTTGCTGTAAGAGGGTTCAGGCCACCCTGTACATTTTCTGTCTCAGGTCTGGTGTCAGCCGTTTCTCCAGGAATGTTGTTCCTTTTAGTGGAGAACAGTATTTATACCCAGATTTTGGGTGTTAGATATGTTCATGCTACACAGTCGATCATTGTTTCTAGGCCTCTCAAGCAATCGAAGTTAAGGAAGAGATTTTCCTGGTTTAAGGACCTATCAATGAGTCATATTGATTCTTCTCATCTGAATTCAGGACAGCAGGGTTTTTACTGAATCTCAACAATCATCTTATTGAGATCTGTTTTTCTTCTTTTCCCATTTTGTAAGATACCAACATAATGAACTACTTGGTTTATCCTGTGATATGCATACAACAGTTGCAGAATTCAAACAGTGTTACTAACAGCAATATGATGTGGGATTGATAAATGACAAGGGAATTCTAAGTAGCTTTTGCTAGCACAGCCAAGTTCCCTAGGCTGCAGGTTGGTTCCTAAGAATCTGACTCAGAGATAGAGATTAGTGCATAGGAAACTTCTTAGCTGCTCTCAGTGAGGAAATGAAGGCAGGGATGTGAGGCAAGGAGAGAATACGGGTAACTATTCAGTAACAGTATTTCTTCACAATAAACCATAACAGCGATTACTTTCAACACCCTTTGTCCTCATGATATATCTTACTTCGTATATATTAAGTTAAATTATTGTCCTTCAGTCCCTTTAAATTAGTTCCTCTTTTGTGGTTATGCCATTAAGTAACTATAAGTGTCTAGCCACTTGTATATTTGATTTTGTCATTTAAATTTTTATAATTATGAAAAATAGGTCTGTAGCACCATAATAAAATCTTAAACCTATATTCTGTTCTTTTCCTCATCATGCAATTCCTTTCTTCCCTCCCTCCCTTTAAAAAATAATGTTTCATTATTTCTTTATATATATGTATATATATATATATGCAGACTTATATGTATGTATTAGCATCCTACTCTTTCTTTGAAAAGAAATGCTCTAATCGCTCTTCTCCACCTTACGCTGTTTGGCTCTGTAATAGAATATAAAAATGCACCACAAGCTACAGTGTGTAGATATCATATAATTTATTCTTAAGTTTTCCTTGAGGACAGACATTTGAGTTTCCAACATGAATTTTAATTTTTACTACTACAAGTGGGCTGCAATGAATAAATATTGTGGTAGATGGATCATCACAGTGCAAGTGATTGTGTACTCTCGCCAACATTGTCAGGTTCCCCTCATTACAGGCTGGGTTCCTAAAAAGCTTGTTCAGAGACAGAGATTATTGTGCAGGGAGCTCACTGAGGGGAGAGAGGGAGGGAAGGAGGGAGAGAAAGAGAGGAGAGAGAGAAAGGGAGAGAGAGAAAGCAGGGTCAGAAGGTAAACTCTGAGGCAAATATGTAGTAACGTATTTCTTAATATATTACTATATGTCATTACTAAGTTAAACACATAGAGTCTATGATAAAGAATCTTCAATAATGTATGGTATGTATACAATTACAGAGTGAATAATTATGTGGCCATTAAAACTCATGTGCTCAAATAGGAAAGGAAAATACTCGTGTTACAGTCTAAAATATTAAGATATACAATTTTGTTAAAATGATGCAAAACTCGGTAAAAATAGTACATGTTCAGATAGGAATACAAAGATTAGAAGAGTGGTGTGTTCATAATGATTGTTTTCATCTTTAAACATTTAAGTCCTCACCAAATTTCCTATAAGTACAACAAAATAGGCATTTAAAATAATTTTTATCTTATTAAAACCCTCAAACAGTGGGAGCATGCTCTCTTGATCATATTAAAATGCTGGAGAGATGGCTCAGCCGTTGGGAGCATTGACTGCTTTTGCAGAAGACCTGGATTTGAGTCCCAGCACCCACATGGCGGCTATGAGCCATCCTTAACTCCAGTTCCAGGGGAATCCGATGCCCTCCTCTGACCTCCGCAGCACTGCACGACATGGGTGCACTCACATACATTCATTCAATACCCTCATACACATAAAATAAAAATAATAAATAAAATATTTTTTAAATGTCTGAAATGTCCCTCACAGGCACATGTTAAGCCTGGTTGCCAGCCAATTGGCTTTTGGCTTACAAGGTTCTGACCTTGTCAGTGGTGTAGCTTGTTCATGGAGTCATAATTTGATGGTCTGATCGGAGGTCATGGAAATAAGGAGGGGCCACAGCTGAAGGAAGTAGAATGGAGATGAGCAGATTTTTTATACCACAAGCTCCCAGCCATGATGTTCTGCCTCAGCACAGCCCCAGACAATGGAGCCAGCTGACCCTGACTGGGCTTGAAACCCTGAAACCCTGAGCCAAAGCCGTCCTTTCCTCTATTAAGTTGATTCCTTCATGTATTTTGTTACAATGATGAAGGTTTGCTGAGAAAATTTATTTCTGTTTTAAATTTATCTTTATTTTTATGGACATATTTATTTATAAATAAATATATAGAGAGTACATGTGAAACCATGATATAAATAAATATATATGTATCATATACATGTGGGATGCTTAAACAAAATCAAATGAATTGACATATCCATTACATCACATGCTTATCCTTATGGAAAGAACATTTACAATCTACTCTTAACAATTTTGAGATCTTCAGCAGCATTAATAATGGTTACCATGCTGTGTGATAGATTGCTAAAAGGTATTCTTCCTGTCTAACCTAAACTTTTAACTTTTGGCTAATGAGGATAAGGACTAGAGAGTCACAATCTATTTAACACATTTCAAAGTGATATATGCAAAAAAGCAGAGTAGCAATTAAAATAAAACAATGACATAATAAGTTCTGGTAATAGTAAGTCCATATATTT